GTGTATCTATATAACAAACTGCTAGTTACTTCTTGATGCTTGGGTTAGCACAGGTGTGCATAACCTAAAATGCTTGGGATATAAGTTTGTGTCATAACAGTTTTACCCATGCAACTGAATTTCCAGAAGGCAACCATAATAAGCAACTGGAGAACAGAGCTTGCAGAGACACAAATGAGTGTGGAATTTAACAGGAGAATTCGATGAAATTGAACCTGGAAGTTTGGACTGGAAAAATTCAGTGTATTTCACGTAAAGGCGTTGTTTGGGGCTCTAGGGCAGCCTTTCAGAGGAAGTTCTGCAAGTCATGTAACTCAAATCATTTAAAGCGGATTGAAAAGATGCAATGGAAAATATAAGTAGGAAGCCTTCCTGTACTTAAACAGTAAATGTAATGTGTTTCATGTGTTTAACCAGTGCATAAAGCAGTGTGTTTAAAACTGTTGCAAATGCTAAGATGTATGGTCACTGTATTTTCAGTAATATACAGTGGATCCTGCCTCTTTGGTTTGTGTAACAGCTAGAGCAAACAGACATGATTTGTTTGTTTTGATGTATGTGCCTTTCAGATACACGCCCATTCTGGGTCAATGCACACACTGCTGCTATTTTTCTGTGCAACTATGCTTTTTCACTTGCGCTACAGTCTTCCGAATTTCATGATCTGTATTGTTCAATTAGCAGAATTTCAGGGTTAAATAATTATCTCCTTTTAGTCTCACAGCGTCTTTAGTTCAGCAGTTGACATTCCTCTCAGGTTAGTTCTGGCAGTGAGAAAAAAGTAAACTGCAGCTCCAAATAAGCAGGAGGTTAGTAAACCCAGGTTAGTTCTGGCAGACTCTATTAGATGGACTCTAAAGTGTAATTACATGAACTCTGTGTTCTGAAAACCTTGGGTTCATTTCCCTTCCCCCCCCCCCTTTTCCTGTTGCAAACAAAGACAAATTCTACCAGTCAGCTTTAGCAAGTGATACTGCAGAAAAGGCAGCAAAGTGAGCACCATAGTGACAAGCTGCAGGCATCCTTTAGTGGAAGTAGGTGCAGTAGCGTTAACTGCTGTGATAAAGCAGCATGCACTTACATGAGGCCTAAATTGGGGCCCTGGCATGATTCCATGCATACATGGTGTTTTCAGTTTCTTGTTGCTATTAGGTGGATGGAAAAGGGCTTGTGTGTTTGCAAGGTAAATAACTTGTTTCCACTTGGGTAATCAACAGCGCTCTTATGTGAAGGAAATTCAACCTTCACTTCTCAGTATTTTCCTATCATTTGTGGGAGGGGAAGGAAAGCATTAGGAGAAGAAGTTGTCTTAGCCTTTAACAGCAAAATAAAGACTGTCTCAGAAATCCTGGAAAGGGTAGAGTGCCTAATGCCTGGAGATTCCTGGGTAAAGTGTAACATTTTGGTGACAGTATGGAGGCTGGGGTGCAGGGAAGGAGACTGAAGTAGACCTAGAGTCTTTTTTATTTAAAAAAAAAAAAAAAGGTTGTGTGAAAAACCTGATATTTCCTATTATTACTGTGTAGCATTCAGGAGTATTTGTCGTAAGAAAGGAGTTGAAAGAAGCATGAGGTCTTGTCACTTCAGTGACTTGATAGTGATTGGGAAAACAGTTTGATTCATTTATTAAGTTGATTTCCTAAATATGCAGAAGTTATTAGCACTGATGGAAGGAAACTACTATTCATCCTGCTTTACTACATCACAGAAACCAAAACTAGGAAAATATACTGTGTGCCATATTCACTGATGAATCAAACTGTAAGATTTATTTCATTGAAAGGTGAGATGATCCATTTAAAGGGAAGAGCAAAGTCACATAAGGGAAGGAAATACTCATATGTAATAATAGAACAAGGAGAAGAAGGACTGGCAGGAAAAGATGGGGTGATCTTTTGTATAAGAACAACAGCATGTACTGAGGAATAGGAAACTGAATAATGTGATTTAGGACCGAACTACCTGAGAAATGCCCTTCTGCAGTTGTGATCTACAGAAGAGTTTGTATTCCTACAAACATGAAGTTGCTGACCAGGTGCTCAGCTCCAGTATTCATTTTCCCATGCTGTAGTTCAACCAAGCCTAGACATCTGCACGCAGCAAAGCCTTCCTTATTTTCTTATGAATTTGAGGAGACGAAATATGTCTACATGTCCAGGCATATGTGTATGACTTTGTATGAGGATATATTGAATATTTATAGTGAGATGGTGATTATATAAATATGATATCTACCGAAGATTTTATGTTTTAAGTGGATTTGGTGGACTCTGAATAAGGATTTTAAGTAGTTACGGAAACGTATATTTAAGTAAATAGGTCTATCAGAGCAAAGCATAGAAAGGTACAGTAGTTTCCTTCCCTTGCTTTTGTACATTATAACAAAAGATGTTTCTGATTAGCATCATTTTGCTCAAGAAACTGTGACTTCCTTTTCAGTCTTCTTCATGATTTTTTCATGGGTAAATGCCAGTAAGCAGAGTTCCTAGCGATAAATTCGTAAGGCCGTTTACTGGCTTGCCACCCAAAGTAACCAAGTTGCAGCTCTTAAGAATTTGCCAATTTCTCCTTCAACTCTGTATTCTGTAACCATCTCAAGAGTTTATCTTATTGCTTGTGTTAGAAACCAGAGGTCATTGCTTGAGGCAAATTGCTCGGGGTTCAAAGTAGAAATACACTGTTATATCCTAACATACTTACCATCTAACAGCTTCATATGGTCTCCCGGAAATAAATTAAAGATCTTAGTTTAATTCCTATTGAAGAGATATCCACATCACAGAAATTATCATCTCAGTTGACTACCTCAGCAGAAATGATAAGGAATGACTGCTCCTTGATTCTAAGCCAGTTTTCTTCTTTCTAATGCAGCATTCGGTAAAATTGATTGAAAGTTTCCATTGGTTTCAGAGGACATTGTGTCAAACTGCAGGATGATTCTTCCAGCCAAAAACTGAAGCAGTGTTGTTTTTCAGTTATTTGGAGTTACAGTTTTCTTTTTCTCACAAGCCGTGCTGTGAGGGCCCTTCTAAGCTTTATGCTTTCAATTTTCTCACCTACTTTTAGATTTAGTCTTGTGACTAAATCACCTGACTATAAACTCTAATTGGCCTGCAGGCTGGGTTTTGTTTTCTCCTCTCTGTACAGAGTCCCTTCAGAAACTGTGACCGGCACTGATCCTGTATTCGTTTATGTCCATGGGAAAATATCACTCCAAGAAAAGGGCAAAGAGACAGAAATGGCCCTTTTGTTGTTCTATCAAAAGCTTAGGTAGATTTAATTTACACCACAAACAGTGACTTGAAAGCATGTTCCTGAGAATCCACTGCTTCCTTTGTTTCCTCTTCAGTTTCCTGATGATTATTTTGGTGTTTTTTTTTTTTTTTAAGCTCTTCATCAATTTCCACCTGGGGTTTCCTTGCTTTCTATTCTTAGCCAAGTTTCCTGATGATTATTTTGGTGTTTTTTTTTTTTTTTTTAAGCTCTTCATCAATTTCCACCATGGGTTTCCTTGCTTGTTACTACTAGCCAGCCTGTTGATCAGGCACCGGGGTTGTGTTCTTGTTAATTTTGTGGACTGAGGTGGAATCAGAAGTTAAATATGTGATAACGGATGTTCTACTCTTTAAGTGCTAGGATGTTTATGAGTAGACGTCCATCATTAAGACCTTTCTTTTCTGCAGCTTGTGACAAATCATTATTTTGGGAAAGGTTGTAGTTATGCTACAAATCACATTCTAAAAATAAAAGTTGAGCAGTGATAAATAACTGCCATCTGGAATCCAAACTATGTAATTGTATCATGTTTTGTCATCCATATAAGGTAAGCTTTTATGGATGCTAAAGCTCAAGGCATAGATATAGAGTAAGAGATATCCAAATATGTTAACTACTTGACGTATTAACGTTAAATGAAAGTAACAAAATATGTTCCATGTGAGATGGAAAGTGTCCTAAAAGTCAGGAAGCTGGACTCCACTATAGCATAGCTGTGTAGGAGACATTATAGTAGGTTTTTCATTGTTTTCAAAAATAGGGTTTATTTTAGCTATTGGACAGATGAAAATGATTTCAAACTAAAAGAAGCCACTCAAATGGCTTTTGTGATTTAACTTCAGTTGACATGGCTCCAAGACATAGCAAGGAATGTGGATGAACAGTATGTGGGACTGCATAGCTGATGAGAAATATAAGCTGTTGGAAATTAATGTCTTTTATGACTTGAATGAAGATAACAGAGATTTCTGAGAAAGGGCATCAGAAAAAATAAGAGAAGAAAGCTAACTAAGAAACGGGAGGAAAAAAGTAAAATGCCGTTAGAAATAAGCACTCTGAATTAACATCGTGTAATTTTCAGTTTCTGCTAGCTGCCCACTCACTTCTTTTAATAGAAAGAATCGTCTTGGGTCTGAAACACATAGTGATGGGAGCCATGGATTTACTAAGGAAGTCAGTTTTCCATCCTAGTGGGTTTTAGCTTAAAACACTTACTAATGAATTTGATCTCTTCAGGATGCACATAATATACCAAAATGGTAGAAGTAGCCTTTTATTTATTGGAGGACGCTCCTCCAATATAGCAGGTGAAGCCTTAATACTAGATTTATTCTTTCCTCTTCAAATGATTCAGTAACGAAACTTACTCTTACTTTTTTATAAACATTCACTCCTTTAGTCTCACAACGCTTCAGTGTAGGAGGCAGTAATACAATCCACATTTTGCGGACAGAAATGTGGAGCACCAACTGAGAAGATAAGTGATTTGTCCCAGGTCTCTCAACAAGCCACTGGAGTAGAGCCAGGATTAGAACCCAGACAAGCTTGGCACTGCACCTTGTGCTCATTGCTCTTAGCCACACCATCTGTCAATTGAGGTATGTCTGGGGATAGACCGAGACACATAGACTTGCAGAGATGGTTTATTTTCTGAAAAACTAGCTTAGCAGCTCATAGAGGTGTTTCACTGATATCTATTCTTATTTCTGTTCCTTTCTTTTTAGCTGGTGTTGCCGGAATACTCTATCCATAGCCTTTTCTGCATAATGTTTTTGTGCGCTCAAGAGTGGCTCACACTGGGGTTAAACGTTCCTTTGCTTCTTTATCACTTCTGGAGGTAAGCCTGTCTTTATATGCTGACTGATTGTTACCCTTATTTGCCATCTTGGTGCACGTGTAAATTGCTTGAAGTACAAACTGCAGCAACAGGAGGATGGCTGGATATGTTTTGCCTGAAAGCCGTTTCTATAAGCAGCTGAGATTCAAGTTTCCAGAGAAAAAAATATTTTCATGAATGTTTAAGGTAGTGAAAGAAAACACATAATAAATAAATGCAGCTTTCAGTTACTAGCGTGATTAGATATTCCCAAGAGTTTCAGGATGTAATCATTACAGCATAATCAAACTGAATGAAAACTTGGAAATGAAATGGGCTGGAATATGAAAATGGCACTCAGTGAGGTACTAAGTACTTCATAGACAAAGAGTTGTAAAACAGTCCGTGTGCTGAAGACCTTAGACATATTTGTTCAGCCCTAGCAAGGAAGCGTTTCCATTGGAGTTGTCATATTTACTGGGCAGGTTGAGGGAATTTTGCTTATCTTCTCTGGTAACTTTATGGGGTTTTGGCAGTATAAAATATATCATTTCTCACTATACCTTTCCAGTAGAGGATTTCTGTTGTGCAAGAAAAGTCTCTCTTGGAATAAAGTTTGCAGAAGATGATGAACTGTTGTCTTTACCTCACCAAAGAGAAGAAGTGGGGCTGTTTTGGCTCCAGATCTCTGCTTCTTTATATTCACTGAGAGGCTTTCAGAGGGAGTCACGTTCAGTTAGGCCTGCTGTTGAGCAGTTTTAATTTTCTCTGGCTGAGCAGTGGCAGCTGCTGACAATGCAGCTTCCGCTGTGTTTTAGTAGAGAGTCAGCCTTTTGTCACTTCTGAAGATAACCAAGAGACATTAATTTTTTTCAGTCTGGAATCCTTCACTAGTTTTGTATTCTCACAACAATTTGTAAAAGCACAGATGATTTTTGTCTGTCAGAGTCTCTTCGTGTTACAAAGATACATATGGTAGCAGAGAGCTACTTTGCACAATATCTTGAAAAATAATTCTGTAACGAATGCAATGCAATTTTGTAACCTCAGTTAGCACCTAGCTACTAAAGAGTGGTAGCTTTTTTGCATGTTTTTCTGCAAAAGCTCAGCAGTAATGAAGAGTGATATGGAACAGTGTATTATCTAGAAGTTAGAGTGGCTGGACAGTTTTCAGAAAGCTAACAGAGTGAAACTATCAGTGCTTTTCTCCCTGTTGGTTTGATGCAGTAAAAACTTGTAATGTTTTTAGCACTGTTTTACTAAGGGTTAGCAACAAAAGTGTGACAATAATGTTGGTCTAAAAAATAAAAAAAAAATATTTTATGCACAAGCTGAAAACGGTGAGACTCTGAATAGTCGTATCACCTTTGGAGGGAACTTTGGGTTATCTTTGTTTCCATGAGTCTCCTTGTGGGCTGCTATAATTACTCCTTGACTACTGCTGTTTTAACGACAGATAGGTTTGGGCTCATTGTGTAAAGTTCTTCAGAAATCCATAAGAAGATATTGTATAATATTTTCATCCCAATGAAGATAATGAAGCAAGGATTTCACTTATGGTCTCTGAAAAAGAACTTGCAATGTTACTAGAGATTATAAGTGAATGTGATTAATAACAGAAAGGAAGAAGGGAGGAAGACCACTTAGTTTATTGCTGGTCATTTAGGGGTATGGAGATTTTATTTCTCTCTATCTATTTATCTATCTACCTGTCTAAGCAATTCCAGCAATCTTTAATAGTTAAATTACTACTTTCAAGCAGCATGTATAACAGTACTTCATTTGATTCATGCAGATCTTAAAGCGTGTCATTAAAGTTGATCAGGACTTCTTTTTTGTTTAGTTGTTTCTTTTTACTGCAAAGTAATTGAGATGAAAGCTCCTTTGCCCAAAAAGTTGTTTTTTCAAGATTTCCTCAAACATCCAGTTGTTGCTGAGACTAATTAGAGATTTATCCATCGTAAGAACAAAAACCGATGAAATGTATTTGGATGGTAAATTTTTGAGCAGTGCTGTGTGTAGAAAACTTTAGTCAACCATCGGTTATTGACTCCATATTGACTGACTGACCTTTTATAGTTGGAGAAACTGAGCTATCAGTTGGCTGAGATTGTTACCTTTCATCATATCTGAAAGCAGTTGTATAGATGCAGTTAAAGGCTAGGAATCCTTACTCTATGCTATGATCACAGACCACCACATATTGTCACTCACAGTATATAAGTTATTAGAGGGTGAACCAGAAAGAATTATATGGGAAGGCGGAATGTGTCAGTGTGAAGAATTAATAGCACAGAAAATCCATATGCATGAAATGTTTGGGCCTATAAGAACCATCTGCTTAGACTAGCATCCTGATTTTAACAATGTCCAGAAAGAGAGGCTTGAAAGAGAGTGGAAAATTCCTCATATAACATGGAAGGAGATTTTCTTCTGAGCCTAGCTGATGATCAGGAGCAGGAGGCTGTATATCTGCATATATTTAATATAGAATGTTACAGAGTCATTCCAGATGTTTTCTCCTGCTTTTTCAGGTATTTTCATTGCCCAGCAGATAGTTCAGAACTAGCATATGATCCGCCCGCAGTTATGAATGCAGATACCTTGAGTTACTGTCAGAAAGAGGCCTGGTGTAAGCTAGCTTTCTATCTCCTTTCCTTCTTCTACTATCTTTACTGGTAAGTCTGATCATCCTACTAAGGAAATGGTAGCTGGTTTTCATTTGACATGTAATACTGTATTTAGAAATGACTGGAGCAAATGGGCCCATTTCCTGATCTTGATTCAGGGAAGCATGCCCACTCATAGCACCTTGTACTTAAATCCACTGACACCTCAAGGCATACCACTAAATGCATATCTGAAGCCTGACCCAGACCCTAGGACCAACCTAAGACGACACATTTTTTGATCCTCTGCGTAGTCTCTTAGGATGGCTGACATAGCAGGTGTTACGACAGTGACATTGTATCAAAACGCAGTTAATAATGTCCAATATTAGGATCAAATTCTGATCTGTGCTATGCCAGCTGATTTTTTTTTCTTTTTTTTTATAAATTAAAAGCGCATGAGGTGCCCCTTGGTGATCGGTGAACTGGCATAGCTTGCTAGCTTATAATTTGCCACGTTGTGAGGGATTTGCCAGTGTATTTCCCACAGTCTTCCGTAAGCCCATCTGAATCTAGAACCTAAAAATGAGATCTCCTCTATCACAAGAGTAGAGGGTGTTCTGGTGCTGTTGGGAACATCCCCTCCAGAGCAGGCTGAGCTCCTGCAGGAGCCTGGCATGTGAGTTCACCAGGCACACACTCATGGGCAGTCCACAGGCTGTCTACATGGTGATGCTCAGGGTGGTAGGTAGGTGGGACACAGGTATAGCCGTCCCTACAACTTCCTTTTTGTGATGGGGCAGACGTGGTTATAGTGTCCAGAACTCTGCTCCCCAGTCCCGCCCCACCTGCAGCCCTTTCAGCTGTAGCTGTCAGATGTCCTTAATGCATAGTTGCAAATGTCAGATGCAAGAATACATGGAGATCGTATTTAAGGTAAGACCTTAGCAGAATCCCTGTGCTTTTAGTGACCTCTATAATTACACCATAGAACTACCTGACAAGAAAGGCTAACACTTTTAACTTTAAATGAAGATGGTGTTTTATGACACCTTTCTCCTACTCTTTTTCCCATAACGTATTTGCATAGATCACCTCTTCCAACTAGTCTTGCATGCTGTACTTCCTTTATAAGATATGATTGTACACTGGTGGAAGAGGATAAATGTCACTTCTCTTTTGATCACTGGTCCGTTATGTGTTCTGTTGTCGACCTTATCTTGAGGAGTCACTACTGCAGGTTGATGTTTCTCAGGTTTACATTTAAATGCTATTTAGCACAAATTTTTCTGGCCACATGTGCGTATGTATGTGCCTGCATGTGCATATATAGAAGGAAAAAGGAAGTGGAAGAGCCCAGACCCACAGAAGCTGTTAGATGCGTAACTCACACTGAGATGGATGGGGTGCAAGAATCCGAGCAGGAGTGTAGCATCCGGTAGCTTTGTGGGTTTGGACTGAATGTCCTTCCCTTGCTAGCTCTCTCGGCAGAGGCAAGAGGCCAAAGCAGGAAGCATGGGAATTGTGCTAGACCAGCTCTGTTGGTAGAGTAAGAAGAGATCATCGCAAGGCATGGGTGGAGGAAGAAGCATTTTTAACCCCACATTTTTGTGCTGGGTAACAGACCCTGTCAAAGTCAGCTGTGTAGTGTGATTTAGCATTTTAGCTGGGGCTCTAGTGTTGTGCAGCCTCCTCTGCATCCTCCCTCCCTTCATTTCAAAATGTGACCATGAGCTAAAATCCACTCTCTGATGCTAAATAAAATAATATGAATTATATTCACTTTTGCTGTACTTTCCTGGGTATTGTCCGAAATAGAATTATGGTAAAATGGGGCTGTGGAAATGTACTGTGATTTCTTCACTTTTCAGAGTTCCACTTTATCTGTATGGATTCACTCCAGCTGGTCTCTGCATTTTATATTTCTTCCACTGCATGGAGTTTTTTCCAAAGGAAACAAAACAGTGCACTTTCATTGGAATCCCTGCCTGCCCTGACAAGAGTTGCTGGTTGAAGTTTTAGAGATCAAACACAATAAAGCAGAATGGTTTTGTTTCTTCATTTTTCAAATTCAGCATCAGACCACCCTTTAATAAGCTCAGACACAGCTTGTGGTACAGTAGGATACTGCTAATGAATTTGTTATTTCTTGAGTGCTTTCTCATACCCATCTTGAATCCACCGTAATTAAGATGCTTTAGAGAGATGGAAGGCATATGAACCAATACAGCAAAGGAAAGCACAGGCCATTACAGTCAGACCTGAGGAACAGACAGTAAAGGGTTATACAAATCAAAGAAGTGCTCTGTATGCCTCAAAAGAATACTTTCATGTTGTGTCTTTCTTTTACATTCAGCATGATCTACACTTTGGTGAGCTCTTAACGAAAAGATCATCATTAAAGACTGAAAGCAACAAAGGCTGAAGGTGCAAGGACAAGTCAGTCAAGTGATGCATGATTTAAAAAAATAAAATAAAGGCAAAGAGATGAAAACTTTGAACCCAAGAAATAAACAGAGCACGTGAAGGAGAGACCCAGCAAGAAGGACGGCTATCTGAAGTAGCAGAATACTGTGGAGAAATGCTGAGTTAATTTTGTTTACCTTTTGTTTCCCAGTGTGTTGCAGTAACTTTTCAAACCCAAACAAAACAAAACAAAAAACTGTGACAAGGTGGGCTGAGTTAAAGACCTCTTCACCTCTTCAGGGATAATGCTACTCGGTTAAATGAATTCATTGTAATCTGTAGCCCCTGCTGTCTTCCAGGGAGCAAAGTTGCTTTTCTTAATGAATGTTCGGTACTGAGGAAGCAGAAGGCGAGATCATCTTACAAGGAAGGAACAGCTACATAATACATTCTGAAAACGAGCGCTGATTGGAGTTCGGATAAGATGTGTGACTGTTCTCCAGGAATGTTCACTTGACACTAATCAAACAGGGATATTGGATCCTGTGAAGTTGTTTCAGTGTTTATTTTTTCCTCGCCCATAGCAACAATAACAAATTTGCAACTGTAGTGTTCTAATTTCTAATGATGTGCCATTTCTGTAGGTGAATATCTGGTACTTTTGTACTTCATTTGTGATGCACCAATAAGATGTAATGGCATGTATCAATACACTGAACTTGACTTAATCAGGTCAAGTACTTATCAGGATAGTATTCCTCTGAGTACAAAAAATGGTGGGAAAAGCTACGTATCTTAAAGAAGATTGTAACACAGATGTGGTATCCACTGGAAGGGTGGATAAGAAATACTGAACCAAGCGGTCTTGGTCTGTAGTTCTGATGTGCAGCTTTATTTCTGCTGCCAAATTTAAGCTGAAACTAATGCACAAAATGTTTTTTCTCATATGAGATGGGTATTGAAAGATGCTCCTCTTATAATTTTAAAAAGCTTTTATTTTATCATCTAATTCACATTTAAATTCATATATGTGGGTTGTATATCTTCATATAGATGTATATACATGCACATCTACATAAACATAGTCTATTTATATATTAGGTTAATCTATTTGATTTAACAAATCAAAGCCATCATGTGTCCAGCACTGCTGTTAAATCTGTTTCAGCACTGAATCTAGCAGACCGGGGCTGGTTCCTGCATTCACTAAGCTATTTCAATGCAACAGCTGCTGTGCAGGGTACCCGGCACACTTAGAAGATCAAGAGTAGCAGTAGCGCATGCGCAGAGACCGCTTGGATCTTGCACTGTGAATGAGCTAACAAGACGTGTTGCTACCAGTAATGCTGTGGAGCAAAGTGCAGAGAGACCCACCTGTAAGGAAACAACCTGGTTACGGCTCGACTTGTTGGTGCTAGGTCACTAATACGCTGTCAAATTTGTTCTGGCCACTGCAGAGCCAAGGAGTATTGCTCTACCAAACTCTGAGGACCTGTTAGTCTGGGCACAGGAATGCAGAAGGAGAGAATCCAGTCTCAGGTCCAGCGCTGTTCCTGTGTTGACAAACCCTATTTTAGATCATGATGCAGAAGCAATGGCTGAACGGAGTCAGCTTATGCCTGGCAAGGTAAAAACAGAGCTGAAGTTACTGCCTCAGTGCAGTGCCAAGGCTCTTCCTAATAAAATTAAATTTTCTTAGCCTGCAAAGCACAGTAGCTGCATACAAGCTGTCATGCTAATTCCTAATCCATGCCTGAGCATTGGTTGGAAGAGTGCTAGCTGTCCTGGGCAAAAAGTGTGCTGGGGGCCATTCTAACCATGCTTGGCCATCTGTTAGATGGTCAAGTTATTCCAGGTCCTGGCGCTCTTTAATTCAGATATGCAGACGTAGCCAGTAAGTCTTGTGGGATCCAGATTAAGTCCTTTACCACACAGCACTCTCTGTTCTGGAAGCACACAACAAAGCTGCCAGATCAGGTTCTTGGGAAGCTAATTTGGGTCTGAAATGGCTCATTAGTTTGGGTTGCACACACTACAAAAGTGGCTTACCTGCTCCTGAAATGACATTGACCCCGAAAATGGTATAGATATATTTGCTTGGAGTGTGCTTGAACTAAGAAACTTTGCTGGATCATCACAGAGCTAACTCTGCTACAGCTCTGCTACCGTACGATTAGTGCATAACCCGTAAAAAGCTGAAAACTATCTGTAACTGAACTCCTTCTTCACATCCTAACTAAAGTATCTTGTTCTACAGAGGCACACGAGCTAGATTCACAGGAGCAGATCAGCATCACTGTACTAGCTTCCAGACGTCTTGCTACCTCATAAAACTAACAACACGGAGTAAGTGACTGAATCTTCCCATGTGTAATATAGGAGAGACATTTCCTCAGCGCTTCAGTGGGATTTACAGTAGCCAGTAAGCTGAGCAGGATGCTAAGAAAGCTGGAGGAAGAGAAAGGCTATTTTTTCTCAAAGTTAATCGACAGTTAAAGGCATATATGTCAGGATGCGAAAGAGGTGGAAAAATTTGAATTCCGGTTTCCTATGTTCCAGATGTACACTTTAAAGTCAGTTTCACCAAAAGTCCTGGCAGTTTTTTTGTGGGGCTGAATATGTGGAAGTATGATGGGGTCTTGCAGAATGGCTGGGCAGGAGAACACGTAATTTATACATTCTCCTGAGATTTAGTGTGAACTAGGCTACAAACAGGTCAGTTGCTTGCCTACGGGGCTGGGCAGAAGCTGTATGGGTTCCTGTGACTGCTGTTGGCATCTAATTCTTGACTTTAGCACACCCAGAGGCACTTACATACATAGGTCTTCTGAACGTAGCCTCAGGTGACTTCAAAGACCTAATGCTTGAATGGACCTGCTAGGTCCCTCAGAACAAGTTCTCTGTGTCAGGCAACCACATCAGGATACTTATCAAACTCTAACTGAAAGCAAAAAAGATTGATCCAACTATTGCTATTAGAAAGGTTTTCCAGGATCTCGCTGCTCTGATGCTTTTTTTTTTTTTTCTCATTTCCACTTTAAATTTATTTGTGGATAGCATGTTCCATTTGCTCTTGAGTGAACATTAGCCTAAATACCCCTTGTCTTACACTGTTTAACCTGACATATACATAGAGCAGACCTTTTCAGCCTCCGTTCTGTTAGGATAAGTGAGCCATCTCTCCTTGCATCCTCCCATAGAAAAGCTCTCCATTCTTCATGTGTTATTTAAATGATTTCTCTGCTACCTTTTCAGTCAAATTAATCTTTCTTGAGAGTGGATGACCAGAGCTGTGCATTCAGCTGAGCATCTGTTCTGTGAGCAGAGCAGAGTATTTTGGAGAACATTTTACCCTAACTAGTCCTTGCTGAGAAGAAGAGTGGACAAATACTTTTTTAGCTACATTTCTCAGTTCTTACCCCTATAGCTAGAATAATAAATAATAAATAGAATTAATCCCATTGCTCTTCATAGCATTTTGTCTCTCTTCAAGAAATATTTCAGTTTAAGTCAATGAAGAAATCATTTAACATGAGGATAGTTTCCTTTTCATTGAACTTAGAGAAATTCCTCCATGAGTAGAAAAAATTTATGAAACTGGCCAAAGCATTCATTTGAGGATATGTTTAATGTAAGGCAGATATCTCCAACCCAGAACCCATAAGTAATAAGACCCTCTAAATATCAAGAAGCTGCTAATGCTGCAGTCCACAGAGAGAGCAGAGTAAGATGCTGCCTTTAGCATGTTCCTTGCTCTGTGTTGTTACCCACGCGTTGGAGGATGTGCTAAGGAAATCTTCGTAACTTAGGTTGTTAACTGTGTCTCTGATGCCCGTCTCCTGGCAGTGTTGAGAATAAGTCTGTGTTGCATGGAGGCTTTGAGTAGTGATAGTGGCAGGTAGGTTTGAATATCATATTCATACAGGTATTCAGATTAGTCATTTTCTTCTAACGATAAGTTTATCTCCCTGGATTTGTCAAAGGGTAGGGGAAAAGTTTTCTTTTTAAAGTCAAGTAGCTTTGTTGCATAATAGAAGGTATATCATTACTGTGAAAGGTTGAGAAACTACTCTGCATTCTTCTGTGTTGTGGCTGTGTGGTCTGGCCTCTGAACAGCTAGCCATGTGTACTGGATGTTTTCAAGACCGGATTTGTCATTTTCTCTTGTAGATTGCCAGCCATATTTTAAGAGAAGCAGTATGAATAGAGCAAGGAAGAAAAAACCTATTGATTCTTCTCCTAGTTCTTGGTCATGTTGCTAGCTAAACACACTAGCTAAGCGTACTTTGACTCAAGCAAGGGAAGTACAGGGCTGCATTGCCATTGATGAAGAGCAGAAAAAAATGCTGTGATTTTCATTCACAAGGTGGTCTCTTCCCTATGTCACACTGTTAAGAAAGAAATAACCCATACTATCCCTTTGACCTTCAACTCTTCTTTGTAGGTTGGTGCAGGCTAAGGGGACCCTGGCAATATTTCTTGCCCCTGCCTGCTCACTCACAATCTGTTTTCATAGAGAGGTAAACGTCATTACTGAGGAGCAAAAGTTTTCTTCTCTCACGTATTCCGTTGATCCAGATGAACCCCACGAAGGGCATAAGAAAGCACATTATGTCGCTTTGGTCCCTTGAACAGGCATCCAGCGAGCACATGATTAAATGATTATTTAATATTTTCCTTGTTTTCACCATCTGTAAAATGAGAGCGGCAATTTCTAGCTTGTGAAATCTTTCCATACATATAATGCTTGTTTTTCGTAACTGTTGAATATGTTTAAAGGAAAAAGGTAAGGGATGGAAAAAAAAAAATGTATGTGGGTGAGAGCTGAATGATAGATATGCTTGCCGAAGGGGTTGGTACGCAGTGTGCTAGCCTATAGCTGCCCGCTTATGGATGTGATGAAAAAGATGCCCTATTGGCGAGTTGTTATCCCTTGGTTCTGCCTGTCTTATTTATAGTCACAGTAGTTGCAGTGATG